TAGATTTACTTTTTTTGCTTTTTGTACTTCTTCTTCATTCAAAAGATATATTACTATATTTTTAATTTTATTGGTTGCTTCAATTTTTCCAAGAATCACTTCAATTTGATTTTGAAAAAGGAGATTTATAACCATGAGAATTTTCACAAAAGGTGATTTTCCCTTAATTTTTTCCACTTCAACAGAAACTTTAAAAAGTTTTATAACAGTTTCTTTATGCCAGATTTTAGGAGAGATATTTTTAGGTTTCTTCACAAATATTTTTTTAACTCTATCATTTTTATTCTTGTTACTTTTTACTGTTTCAAATTCTTCCTCAATATATAAGTCATCATCCTCTTTGCCATCTAAAATTTCTTTATATTTTAGTTCTGCCACAAATGAAATACTTGACCCTGGTTTAACAACATTACTAATATTTATTTCTGTTTCTTCTTCAAATGTCTCTCTAATAGCTCTTTTTTTACTTGTGTACACTGGTAGCAAAGGAACCTTTATTTCTTCTTCTATATTTATAGTTGTATTATTTTCATTTTGTATGTTACTAGTTGTAGGAATAAAATTCATATTTTTCTCATTTTCTTGGTTGTTGTTATCATCTTGTTGACCAGACATACTTCTGGTATTGTATTTATATTTTTTCTTACCCATACATATAAAAAGATAGAAAAATAACTAAGTTTTATATGTAACTACAGTGAAAAATTGTATTTATCTACTGTGGGAATATTTGGTACAAGTGATCGATGGGAAGAGTTCTCTATTTTCCAATTATGTATTATATTATATTTATATAATAATTTTTTGATATTTTTAATAATTTTGTTTATTTTTTGACCAATCATCATTTGACAAATCATGTGTCTCTTAATGTGATTTGCCCCTGCTTAGATGACTTCTAAATAAAGTAATTTATAATTCATTCATTTGTGACAAAAATGAAATGATGATTTTTGTTACTAGTTGACCTTTTGAATTAATTTTATTTTTGAAAAGCAATTTACAACTAGCAACTCATGAACAGTTACTTTAGTTTACAAATTGAAGGAGATAATTTTAAAATTAATAAAAGAATAATCTTAAGTTAAAACTAATCAAAGGACTTAAGAATTTATGATAACAGAAATTAAGTTATTAATTAATGGTTAAATTTTAAAGGGTAATTTAAGAAATTAGAGCAAAGAGCTAAATATATTTGTCAATGATTTATAAAGTAATAACAGAAGTTTATTAATCATAATATATATTTGTAGAATATAACTTAGTAGAAAAGTAACAGAGTTTTAATATAGAAAATTTAAGTTTACTATGAAGAAAATCAATAATCCAGTTACTTCAGGATTATAAAAATTTAATTTAATTATAGAATTAATTACAGTTGAGATTACTTTCTAAATTTCAATATTTTAGAACTGTTCAAATCTAACTTGGGGTGGAGAGAAAACTAACCCTTTTTATATTATTTGATTTGGCTAGTAGGTTGGTCAGTAAGTTGGTCAAAATCTTGGCCAGTAACTGGACCACTATGCTCTACATTATTGATTTACATAATTCATATTACGCTAATAAATAAATACTAATTATAACTAATAAATAAAATATACTCAATAATCATACTAACAAAATAACAAATAAGAAATAAAATAATAATAAATAAAAAAATTATTAAAGTGGAGAAACTCATGGTAACATTGTCAAAGGGACAAATGAATAGTGCATCTCATAATTTTAAGGCTTTGATGCAGCAACTTGGCACTATGGTTACGGACCATTATAAAAGGAAATCTCTCCTTTTTGAGAAAAATAAATATTATGAATTTTTGAAATAAAAAATTATTTTTTACTTTTGATTAAATAATATTTTAAATTAAATTAAGTAATTTAAATGAGTAATATCGATTCATTACATTATCCAGAAAATATAAATATTTTTATTTTTGAATTGCTATAATAACCAATCCAGTAAATATTAAATTATATAATTTGTGATGTCAAGCACAAGTAGACTTTGTTATCAATCAACATAAAAAAAGAAGTAGCAAATAAATGTACGCATGATTTAATATTAATCTTATAATCTAATACAAATCTGAATCTTTGTGAAACAATTCTTACCCATTTAGTTTCCTCAATTATATAACGTAATGTTGAGATTACGTACTCTATGAGCACGAAGTTCTTGGCCATTCACTTGTCTTTTATACTCTTTATTAAAAATGCTAAAAAAGATAATTTCATATAACATACTGCAACACTTTTCATACTGTAATACTTTGCATTATTCAAATTTGGGTTTTATCCTTGTAGCACAAAATTCGGGCAGAAATATTTCAATATTTGACTTTTTTAGATGTTTGCCTCGTTTGTATAAAGAGTTTATTCAATTAGCTATATTAAAATAGTCACATAATTCCTTTTTTTAAAAAAAAATATCCAGATATCATCCAAATCGAGAAATATTTTTCTTATAAATAACGATGGTTTAAAATCATATATGCATATAAAGTAAACGATAAATTTTATTAAAGAAACGAAAAAAATCACAAAAAAAAAAAAAAAACAGTAAATATCATGTCAATTAATTTTATGAAACGTTTCACTTTACTTTTAATTATAGTGCCAGTTTTGTTAACATCTTTAATTGAAAGTCAAATAACTTCTTGGACTCTTACTCTTACAACTATTACAATAGATGACCCAACTGGTAGTGTGTGTGAATCCATAAGATGGAACGAACGAAATTTATGATAAATTTACAAATTTTCAAATCAATTCTAACAGTTATTCCATTTTACTAAACCAGATATGCCATCAGGAACAAGCACCACTTCCAACATTACAATAATCCCAACCCCGCTTCTACTGGTAGGGTGAAGCTTAATATAAAACGAATGATATTTATGATAAATTTACAAATTTTTAAACATTTATTTAATTTTTAAATTATCTAGAAACTTTGAACTTCATAATGACAAGGATGATTACGATCTAATAATTGAAGTTGTGAATTGAGTGAAATATTTTTATTTTATTGGATATTTTAAATTTATCGAGAGTAGCATTGTCATTTTATAAATCTATTTATTTATTGAGCTTACTAATTTAACTTCCAGAATTATTTAAATTAGAACCTCATTTTATTGAAGATAATGCTTCTTAGTTATAACACATTTTTCTTTCACCTACTATAATTTTTTTTACAACGAAAACTTTTTGTAATGATATGTTAGTCAAGTATCTGATCTCATTTTTGATAGCTCAGATTTTACTTCTCTGCAAATGAGAGTACGTTATCAAGTGGGGAATTGTCCAGAATCCTACTCTCTCCATCGACCTTAAAGAATTGACTAAAAACTACATTACTAATTACATCTAACGTATTTTTTAGTTCCACCTTTCATTTAGATTAATTAAACATTGACAAACAGCTTTGAGAAGATAACAGTTAGTTCCTGGCTGATCATCAAGTCAGTGATACAAGTTTTGGTTACAGAATACCTTCTCGTAAAATGAAACAAAAGAATCATTTTAAACTTAAATAAACATAAAATGATTAATTGTTCAGCAAGTATCCATAGAAATTTAAATTAATTTTAAATTGTACTAGAGATAATTTTGTTTCACATACATTCAGAATATCTATTTGTTATGGTATGCTTGTACAGTAGTTGTGGCGAAAGTTTAAGAAAAAATTATTGCCCTTTAGCATGGGATAATATTTATATTTATAATGATAGATAGTTTATATTTTGGATATGGTTTTTGTTATGTTGAAAATTGATTTTCATTATTTCTATTGATTCTCATTATGTTTATAAAAATAAAAATAATAAAAATAATAAAAATAATAAAAATAACAAAAATAATAAGTAATTCAAAAATTAAAAATATAAATTTATTTATATGAAGAATTAAATTAGATACAAAAATTTCAAGCAAAAAAGACTAATGCCAAGTTATCTCTGTTGACATGGCGAGTAAATAATAATTATAAATTTATTTCTAATTTATTATTATTTTATTTTTTTGATTTATTATGATTTGACATCAAAAAGTGAAAAGTTAATTCTCAATTAATTCGTGATTTGCAAGTTAACTACAAAAAATCATATATAACTTTGATCCAACTTTTTTTTCAATAACTAAATAATTTTTATCTAGAGAAAATGGCCCAAAATGCTAATTCCTACTTTAAGAACCAAGGGAAACCAAAAGATTGATATTCTCTCCTTTATTCATTATTCAATATGTAATTAGAGTTTTAATAATTTGATATCGATTTTCTAGAAAACGTGAGATTCTCAAATTGAATAAAAACTATAATAATTATTATCATCAGAAAACCTTAATACTTACTCACATATCAAAAACAAATTTTAGTGCATCATTATTAAGACATACACCAAGATCACGTAATGAAAGTTGCTTCACAATTAGTCTCAATGGAATTTTTAACAACTTTGATGATCATATTCAAGTTTATGGGGTGTATAGTTCGACCTAAATTTTGGTTCTCTTTTTTTTTTTACTTCTACTTACTGTACTGTACATATTTTCAACCATATGCTGCATGATTGTGATATTGCTTTAATGGATTACGACCAAAAATTCCATTTACCCATCGACCCACTTAGTTAACAATAACGCGAAATTAAAATTTAAATTTGATTGGAATAATAATAATAATGTTAATAAAACAATTCCCTTTTTCTTTTCGTGACTCAAGAAATTTCTTTCTTAGTAAGTTGAATTAATTTATTATTTATACTTGTTTAACTAGAAAATTCCCAAAGTTACTAAATTTCGGTCATTTAACAAATATAATTAAGAAAATAAATTTTCTTGAATTCGGTACCCTTGCATCTTGTTATTTTTTTGGTTTCGTTAGCGTCTTGGCTAAAAAAGATCGTCATCAAAAATAGACATTATTACTATTACCAATAAAAAAGAATTTACAAGAATTCATATATTTGGTGGGAATTATGCATGATTTAATTACTCATTTTCTGACCGAGCACATGAACCTATTTAATGATTATAAATCAAAGCATAGCCTAAAATAATAACATAACATCGTGTCATATTTATCAAAAGTCAGATGATTTTCGGATTCATTTGCAAGCTATATAATTTATAATGATGATAAGTCTTATAGATTATTTTAGAAAGTTGGTATTTGTATAATGATAACAATAATGCTAACTAGTTTTTCTCTTATAATATATAAATTTCTAAAAGGTTGATCATTTACTGTGAAATCAATTATTGTATTGTTATTGTGAAAGATAATAGAGATCTTAAACATTTATAAATATTGTAATATGCTATCTGTATTGGCTTAATAATATCGATTCATTGAAATTCATGAAATCAATAAACATTTTTATACGTTATATGTATTGTATATAAAAAATATAGAGAAAAAAAACTGGAAATAAAAGCTTTAGAAACATTAACTTTTGTTTTGAACAAACAACAGCAATTTAAATTTTATAATAAACAGTAACCTTAAATTAACATTTTATATCAAATTCATATGACCTGCATAGTTATCAGCATTATCATCACCATTCATCATTATCTTCGTTATTATCTTCTAAGAAAAAATTTTTAAAAATATAATATAATCAGTATTATTATTAGTATAGATGTAAAAATTTTTTAAATAGATACTTACTATTATACAGCTAATAATGTAATTAACTATACTTCAGATTATATATACAGTTTTCAAAAGGTGAATAATGAATGATAAGCTCGAAGATATTATCAATTCATGTCAACGCAGAAGTAGGCGCCTATGCATTTGCTAAACTCACGGATGGTCTTAAATTCTATTCAATAAGATTCGATTATATGTGATTAAAAAACTTTTATGTTGCAAAAAATCTTATTTTTTAATTTCCTAAAATAAATGAAATAATTTATACATGAGGAACTAGTAAAAAGATAAGATTGAATTAGTTTTTCGTTAAAATATAATATTATTTTACCAAATGCGGTTTCAATGGAAATAGTTAAAACTGAAATTTTTTGCTCCGTGATGATTATAATGAATTAATATAAATATTATATATTTATAATATTCTCTAAAATATAGATTTTCTGGTAAAAAACTTTTACTTATTCTTTAATTAAATTATTAGCAAACATCGACCCAAAGTGTTTATAAGAATAATTGGTTGAACAGAGCTTCAATTGAAAAGTATATATTATTTGTTATTTCAATACTATTTTATTCTACTTTATTCACCACTTATTCAATAATGTTCTGTCTTTATTTGACAAAAAAATTACCCAAAGTTTAATATAATTACTATTATCTAGTGCAGTAAATTATTAAAAAAAAATAAGAATAACTAAAATATGACATAATTGTATAAAATTTATAATCTAAAAGTAGGCACTAATATCAAAATCTGAAAATTGTAAAGAAGGTAAAGGTTTACTTGTAAGATATTCTTCAGAATGCGTAGTTTCAGCGGATTCAGCAGAAGATGGATCTTGCATTTTTTGATTTGCGTTTAAAAACATATTAATAAGTGAATGCTTTGTTTGATCCTTATACATTAATGCATCAATCCATTCTTCTAATGTATCAAAAATCATTTGAGCATTTGGACGCTTGGATGGATCTTCGTCCCAACACTTTTTCATTAATTTTACATAACATTGAGGTGTGCTTTCTTTAATTTTTGGTCGAAATCTATCAATAATTTGAAGAGCCAATTCTGAATCATGTTTTCTATCACCAAATGGTCTTTTCCCCGTTGAAATTTCCCACATAATAATTCCAACACTATAAATATCAGAAGCCTGTGTGTATTGCTTTTTACTCAATGCTTCAGGTGCAACATATGGCAATACACCTAATCCAGATGATAAGATTTCATTTGCTCCACATAATCCTAAATCTCCTAACCTTATGAATTTATATTTTGAATCATTATAATTATTATCTACTTCAGTCATCATAAGGTTACCAGGGTGAAGATCATGATGGATAAACCCTTTACTGTGAATGGCTTTTAATCCTCTAATAAAGGAATTCAATAACCATAATCGTTCAATCCAAGGTAATGATTTATTTTGTTCAAGATAATCTCTTAAATTTCCATTTTTCATATATCGTAAAACTATTACATATTCTTTTGTCTCTGGATTTTGAGTCATACCCAAAATTGGTAAAACATATTTATTTCGACATTGGAAATTTGCAATTAACTATAGAAATTTCAAATATAAATAAAAAAAAATATATATTATATATCTAACGAAAACATATTGAAATATTGATATACAATTTAATATTTACCTCTTTTAAAAATTCTGAACTGATTCTTTCTTTTGAATTATTAAGTTTCTTTAAGGCAACTTGATTTGATTTATAAAATTCAAATAATACTTCAGGCATATCTATCCATTCTGCTTTCGAAATACTGCCAAACCCTCCTTTAGCTAAATATTCTATATTCTTGAATTTACTATAATCTATCCATCTCCAAATTTCCCATTCTTTTGCATCCTCGTCTGATTGAGTCATTTGAATAAGTTTATCAATTTCATCATTACCACTAGTCCATTTTTGTTCACAATTTGAACATGTATTATTTTGTAAATTTAATTTTTCACAATTATGGCATCTATGCTTTAATTTATTTTGAGGATTTTTAATTCCAATTTCATTTTGGTAGTAATAATCAAGATTAATTTTCCCATAACTATTTCCTCCTTCAGCTGATTTTGAGTACCAATGAAATGCTTTCTCTTCATCTTTTATAGTTCCTTTCCCATTACTATAACAATTCCCAAGATTGTTCTGTCCTTCATGACTTCCCCTTTCGGCTGATTTCAAGTACCATTGAAATGCTTTCTTATAATCTTTTGGAGTTCCGATACCATCACTATAACAATTCCCAAGACCATTCTGTCCATCAGGGTCTCCACCTTCAGCTGACTTCAAGTACCATTGAAATGCTTTTGCTTCATCTTTTGTGATTCCAATTCCATAACGATAACAATATCCAAGATTATTTTGTCCCAGATGGTTTCCTGCTTCGGCTGATTTCAAGTACCACTGAAATGCTTTCTCTTCATCTTTTATGGTTCCAATTCCATAACGATAACAATATCCAAGATTATTCAGTCCTTTAATATTTCCTCCTTCAGCTGACTTCAAGTACCATTGAAATGCTTTCTGATCATCTTTTTCGGTTCCAATTTCATATTGATAACAAGATCCAAGGCTGAATTGTCCTCTATGGTCTCCTCCTTCAGCTGATTTCGAAAACCACAGGAATGCTTTCTCATAATCTTTTGAAGTTCCAATTCCATAATAATAACAATATCCAAGATTGAATTTTCCACGATGGTTTCCCCTTTCAGCTGATTTCAAAAATGACTGAAATACTTTCTCTTTATATCTTGCAGTCCCAATACCATGTTTGAAAAAATATTCAAGATCATCTTCAGCTAGTTTCAAGTAACACTGAAATGCTTTCTCTTCATCTTTAATGGTTCCAATTCCATAACAATGACAATATCCAAGACTATTCTGCCCTTTGATATTTCCTCCTTCAGCTGATTTCAAGTACCACTGAAATGCTTTCTTTTCATCTATTGTGATTCCAATTCCTTTTTGATAACAATACCCAAGATTGAATTGTACGCAATGGTTTCCCCCTTCAGCTGATTTCAAAAACGACTGAAATACTTTCTCCTGATCTCCTGTGGTTCCAATCCCATGTTGATGAAAATATTCGATGTCATCTTCGGCCAATTTCAAGTAATTCTGAAATGCTTTCTCTTCATCTTCTAGAGTTCCAATTCCATAATGATGATCATTATTCTGTCTTTTATTATTTTTTACTTCGGCGGATTTCATGTACCACTCAAATGCTTTCTTTTCATCTTTTGTGGTTCCAATTCCATACTGATAACAATCCCCAAGGCTGAATTGTCCCCTGTGTTCTCCCCCTTCAGCTGATTTTAAAAGCCATTGAAATACTTCCACATTATCTTTTTCTTCTTTTTCATCTTTTGAAGGAGTTCCAATTTTATGATAATAACAAGTTCCAAGATCATATTGTCCACTACTATTTCCCCCTTCAGCTGATTTTAAGTACCAAAGAAATGCTTTCTCTTCATCTTTTGTGGTTCCAATTCCATAGCGATAAAGATATCCAAGATTTTTCTGTCCTTCATGATTTCCTCCTTCGGCCGACTTCAAAAACCATTGAAATGCTTTATCATCATCTTTTGTGCATCCTATCCCATGTTGATAACAATATCCAACATTATATTGTCCAACATGACTTCCCTCTTCAGCTGATTTTAAAAACAATTGAAATGCTATCTCTTCATCTTCCATAGTTCCAATTCCATAATGATGGCAATATCCAAGAATATTTAGTCCTAAATGGTTACCTCCTTCGGCCGATTTCAAGAACCATTGAAATGCTTTCTCTTCATCTTTTATGGTTCCAATCCCATCTAGATAGCAAC